GACGTGTTCACCTCTACTGGTAATTGAACTATGAAAGCAGTACATGTACATGTGCATGGTTTAGGGAATTTTTTACTTGTAATCCCACGCCTTATAAGGAATCCAATCATTAATGGTATAGTAAATTTCTGTCTCCATGCGGGCGTTAAAGAAGCCAATCAAAGCTGCTTTCTTTACATCACTAACCATTACTCATGACCTCTAAACTGTAACACTTATATCACTATATGATGATCAGTAACACTTAATGCTGCACTTGAAAGTGAGTGATTGATCTAATATAATGAAATGAAATGTACATCATTTCTTATTGTTATAATGATTGGGTGCATTTCCATAGTTCCATGACTCAAGTAAAGGGACAGTGGAATCAGTTAAAAAGGAAATAAACATTTCCAGTGTTGTGACAATAATGATAACAACAACAGAAGCATATAATAATACGTCAATGAACTGTTTCTATAACAATAAAAAGGATTACTTTTAGTTGCAGCATGTATGGGTACATTATTATAAAGGAATTAAGGTATTAAATGTAATAATTGTTGTACCAGAGGAATATCAGTAGTGAATGGAACATTAGCTTAAGCTAGAGGAAATGACTCCTACCATACACTACAGCCTACAGGTTTGTTATACTATCAGTAACGGACTATAATAACAAAACAAAAAAGGAATATCAATAATAGTTAACAATCTCCATATTTGGTGATGATACGCATAATTGAGTTGAGGTGGATCTTTACATTTTCCGTGATGTAATAATTACACAAAATAAAGTGATAGAAATGTATAGAGGTACCTGTAGCAACACATGCAGTACATTAAGTATTGTACATGAATGTGTAATGTCTTAGTCAGTGGAGGCTATTCTTCTCAATAGCTCTTCAAATATTAATTCTAAAATGAATTAAATGATAATGTATAATTAATGAATGTTAACTAACTGTTCATGATATTGATAGATGTAGTTTTTACTTTATTATCAATCTCTGGTTGACTAACAGTTCTTATACTTCTATCAATGAGTTTCTGAAATAAAACCTGATCCAATAGTTTAGATGTCTTTCTCTTCTCTCTCTCCCTCAGTCCAGCCTTAGCCT